GCGAGCCGGGGGCTCAGGGCTGTGGCAGGAACCTGTCCCCAAGCCTGGGATGGCTCCTGGGATCCCAGATCCTTCCTGCTGCGTTTGGAAAGGGGATTCTGCTGGGTCCCATCCCGGGGTGAGAGCAGGGGCTGTCCCCACTGTCACCAGAGACACGCCACGGACACCAGGTCCCATCTCCACAGCCACCAGAGCCATCCCCACTGCCACCAGAGCCATCCCCACTGCCACCAGAGCCATCCCCACTGTCACCAGGGCTGTCCCCACTGTCACCAGGGCCATCCCCACTGTCACCAGAGCCACCCCACGGACACCAGGGCCATCCCTGTTGTCACCAGGCTTCACTGCACAGCCACCAGAGCCACCCCTGTGGTCACTATGTCCCATCCCCACTGTCACCAGAGCCATCTCTACTGTCACCAGAGCCATCCCCACTGCCACCAGAGCCATCCCCACTGTCACCAGGGCCGTCCCCACTGTCACCAGGGCCATCCCCACTGTCACCAGGGCTGTCCCCACTGTCACCAGAGCCACCCCACGGACACCAGGGCCATCCCTGTTGTCACCAGGCTTCACTGCACAGCCACCAGAGCCACCCCTGTGGTCACCATGTCCCATCTCCACGGCCACCAGGGCCATCTCCACTGCCACCAGAGCCATCCCCACTGTCACCAGAGCCATCTCTACTGTCACCAGAGCCATCCCCACTGCCACCAGAGCCATCTCCACAGCCACCAGAGCCATCCCCCCTGTCACCAGGGCCATCCCCACTGTCAGCAGAGCCATCTCCACGGCCACCAGAGCCACCAGAGCCACAGTCACCACTGCCTGTCACCAGGGCCATCCCCACTGTCAGCAGAGCCATCTCCACTGCCACCAGAGCCATCCCCACTGTCACCAGGGCCATCCCCACTGTCACCAGAGCCATCTCCACGGCCACCAGAGCCACAGTCACCACTGGCTCGATTTGGTCACTTTGGGACAATTCATCCCCTCCTCCCCAAGGCCAGCCCAGTTCCAGCTTCGCCCCTCAAAGACTGGGGCTGACCCCACACCCCCACACCCCTAAACCCACCCCTAAACCCACCCCTAAACCCTGGTGACACCGAACCCATGGGGAATGTGACAATCCCGAGCTGCCGGCCCGCGCCACCGCGGCTCTTGCTCCACGCCAAGGTGTGCCGGGCTGGCAATTAGCGAGGACTTAATGAGCTCCTGGGGAGAAGCTGCCACAGAGAAAGGAGGCGACCGCTGCAGGGGCTCCGGGCAGGAGGTCGGCGGCGCCTTTGGAGGAGCCACCTGGGGCAGCCTGAGCCGGGCGGGTTTTGGGAGAGCCGGGCGGGTTTTGGGATGGCGAGGTGGGTTTGGGGATATCTGGGATGCTTTTGGGATGGCGAGGTGGGTTTGGGGATATCTCGGATGGTTTGAGGAGAACCAGGTGGGTTTGGGGATATGTGGGATGGTTTTGGGATAGTCGGGAAGGTTTTGGGAGATCAAAGAGAGTTTTGGGAGAAGCAGGCAGGTTTTGGGAGAAGCAGGCAGGTTTTGGGAGAAGCAGGCAGGTTTTGGGAGAAGCAGGCAGGTTTTGGGAGAAGCAGGCAGGTTTTGGGAGAAGCAGGCAGGTTTTGGGAGAAGCAGGCAGGTTTTGGGAGAAGCAGGCAGGTTTTGGGAGAAGCAGGCAGGTTTTGGGAGAAGCAGGCAGGTTTTGGGAGAAGCAGGCAGGTTTTGGGAGAAGCAGGCAGGTTTTGGGAGAAGCAGGCAGGTTTTGGGAGAAGCAGGCAGGTTTTGGGAGAAGCAGGCAGGTTTTGGGAGAAGCAGGCAGGTTTTGGGAGAAGCAGGCAGGTTTTGGGAGAAGCAGGCAGGTTTTGGGAGAAGCAGGCAGGTTTTGGGAGAAGCAGGCAGGTTTTGGGAGAAGCAGGCAGGTTTTGGGAGAAGCAGGCAGGTTTTGGGAGAAGCAGGCAGGTTTTGGGAGAAGCAGGCAGGTTTTGGGAGAAGCAGGCAGGTTTTGGGAGAAGCAGGCAGGTTTTGGGAGAAGCAGGCAGGTTTTGGGAGAAGCAGGCAGGTTTTGGGAGAAGCAGGCAGGTTTTGGGAGAAGCAGGCAGGTTTTGGGAGAAGCAGGCAGGTTTTGGGAGAAGCAGGCAGGTTTTGGGAGAAGCAGGCAGGTTTTGGGAGAAGCAGGCAGGTTTTGGGAGAAGCAGGCAGGTTTTGGGAGAAGCAGGCAGGTTTTGGGAGAAGCAGGCAGGTTTTGGGAGAAGCAGGCAGGTTTTGGGAGAAGCAGGCAGGTTTTGGGAGAAGCAGGCAGGTTTTGGGAGAAGCAGGCAGGTTTTGGGAGAAGCAGGCAGGTTTTGGGAGAAGCAGGCAGGTTTTGGGAGAAGCAGGCAGGTTTTGGGGGAAGCAGGCAGGTTTTGGGACAGTCAGGCAGTTTTTTGGAAGCAGGCAGGTTCTGGGAGCGCGCTGTGGCCCAGCTGGCACAGCCGGCCCTGCCGCTGGCGGGCTGGAGGCAGCCAGGTCGATATTTTCCAACTTGAGAGCTTAAAATAGGTCATCTATCTCCATTCCTTTTTAAATCAGGTCTTGCTGCCTTGCCGAAGACAAACTTGGTTTATTAATGGGACGGCACCGACTTGAAACCTAATCCTGTTTTTTTCCCTTTTAATGAGAATAAAAGGCCGTCCCGGGGCTCGGCAGCTTCCCAGCACAGCCCCCCCATCCCCGTGTGTTTTCTCCCCGTCAGTGGCTCCACGTGAACTGGGGAGAGGCTCCAAATTCCAGTTTGGAGCCGGTCCCACACTCAGCATCCCCCACACCGACCCCGAGCTGTGCCCCCATGCCAAAGTTCCCAAACCCACAGACCCCAAACCCAAATTCCCAATCCCACAGCCCCCAAACCCAAATTCCCAATCCCACAGACTCTAAACCCAAAGCCTCCAAACCCACATTTCCCAAACCCAAACTCCCCAAACCCACAGCCCCCAAACCCACGGTCCTCAAGCCCCAAAAACGCCCGGCCTGGCACTGACCCTGGATGACAGCACCGGGCAGTGCTGCCAGCCCCGGGGGGGGTTTGGGATCGCCCGTCACCCCCCGGTGCCCCCGCGGGGCCGGGTGCCAGCGGTGACACGGGACAGGCCAAGGTTAAACCACAGAGGTCAGAGCCCTCGCAGCCAGGGCTGGCACCAGCCCCGGGTGGGCAGCGGGACCCTGGGTGCCAGCGGGACCCCGGGTGGGCAGCGGGACCCCTGGTGGGCAGTGGGACCCCGGGTGGGCAGCGGGACCCCGGGTGCCAGGGGGACCCCGGCTGGCACGGCACGGCCCAGCCCCGTGCCCGTGCCAGGTTTCGCGCTGGCGAGGCGGGATTGCGGCAGCAGCCCCGAGCACAGGCTTTTCCTGTCTTTCAAGTTCAGGGTTCAGAGAGAAAGGAGGGGAGAAAAAAAAAAAAAAAAAAAAAAAAAAAGGCGTTAAGAAATTCAATTTGTAAAGCAGAGACGGCAAAAAGGGTTGGGGGGCAGGAGCCACAAAGGGGTGAGGGCTTTGGGGACAGCGGGACACCGTCCGTGCCACGCAGCCCTGGGGGCGGCCGCCGGGCAGGATTTCTGCTGGCGCAGCGCTAAATCCTCACGGAGGATGGCAAAGAGCCTTCGTCCCCACACGTGGTGGGTAATGAGCCCCTCCAAAGTCACCCCAAATCCCCCAGCGCCCCAAATCACCCCAAAGCAGCGACTCGAGCCTTGCCCCAGGTGCCGCCCCCCAGGAGGGCGCATTTCACCCCAAAACGCAGCAGAGAAGCCGATTCCAAGATTCAGGCACACACGCACACACCCACCCCCATCCCAAAATCCCGAGCGCCGGCGCCCAGCGGTACGGGGTAAGCAGGGACGGGTCCATGATTAATGCTCAGCAGCTCCTCATCCCCGAGCCACTCCGCACACCCCAATTAACCCTTTCAGGCCGGTTCATTCCCCCATGGCCGGGGCCGAGGAAGCCGAGCTCAAAAACCGAGGAACTGAGGGACAAATTCAGCTCCGGGGCCGGGATGTGCCAGTCCCACACCGCGGGGTCGCCACGGCCACCAGACCCCCGCCCCAAGTCCTCCAGCGCTGCCCTCATCCCCACGCCAAGGTTTCGCCGGGATTTGGCATAAAACGGGCAGGAAATGGGGCTTTAGCCAGGGCTGGGCTGGCCTTCCTTGGCACCACCGGGAGACGGGAATCGCCCTCCGGGGCAGCGGCGCCGGGCGATGCCGATGCCCACCCGCGGGTCAGCAAATCCTGGGGGGCTGGGGGGGCTGGATTTGACCTCCAGGAGCTCCTGGGCACGCCGGGGGGTTGCAGCCTGCCTAGAGGCGAGCGCTGGCGGGGATGGATCCGCCGGAGCCACACGGAGCCAGCCCGGCCGGGAGTTTCGGAGGAAGTGCGTGGGTGTCCGTGGGTCTCGTCCCGGGAAGGGGCAGCTCCTTCCCGGGGTCTCCCGCTCGGCTCCGGGGCCGGATCCAGGCGCCGCAGCCCCTCCGCCCTGCCACGACGCCGCTGTGGCTGGGGACAGGCCACCGCGGCCACCAACGCCTGTGGCATGGCGTGGCGCGGGTGGCTGGACACCCCCCGGCCCCGGGGGCCCTGACCCACAGCCCAGCCCCGGGGAACCGGCTCGGTCCCGGTCCGGCCCCCGAGGGGCATCACCCAACACCCGGCCGCGCTGCCAGACTCGGCGCCATCCCAGCACTGCCAGTCCCGGCCCCGCACGCTCCCAGGACCTCCCAGGACCTCCCAGTTCCCCCAGTCCCTATTCCCCCAAACCTACAGCTCAGCCGCTATCTCCATTTCCTCCCAGACCCCCTTTCCCCGAGCCTCCTCCCTCCCCAGTCCGCCCAGTATCCCCCAGTTCCTCCCAGACCCCGCTTCTCCGAGCCTCCTCCCTCCCCAGTCCGCCCAGTACCCCCCAGCGCCGCTCCCAGTCCCGACTGGCCCGTCCCCGGTGTCCCCGGTGTCCCCGGTGTCGCTCACCGCGGGGGCGGACGGCGGGATCCCGACCAGGCAGAAGGCGATCCCATTCATCGGGGCGCGGCGGGCGGGCTCGGCTCGGCCCGGCCCGGCCCGGCTCCGCACGGCTCGGCTCGGCACAGCCCCGCACGGCGCTGCCCGGTGCGGCCCCGCGCGGCGCGCTCCCGCTGGGTTCGGCCCGGCCCGGCCCCGCACGGTGCGGTCCGGCTCGGCTCGGCTCGGCTCGGGCCCCCCAGCCGGGACCCGCTCCGCCTCCTCCGGGCGCCCGCGGCGGCGGGCGGGGCGCGGGGCGGCTCGGTACGGCCCGCCCGGCGGGAGGGACCGGCACGGCACCGGCACCGGGACGGCGGGGGGGGAACGGGAACCGGCCCCGGGACAGCGGAACCGGCACCGGGACAGGAGAACCGGCTCCGGGACAGGGGAACCGGCTCCGGGATAGGAACCGGCCCCGGGACAGCGGAACCGGCACCGGGACAGGAGAACCGGCTCCGGGATAGGAACGGGCACCGGGACAGTGGAACCGGCACCGGCACCGGGACGTCGGGGGGGAACCGGAACCGGCACCAACACGGGGACAGCAGGAACCGGTACCGAGCTGGCACTGGGATGGGCACAGAGCAGGCACCAGGAGGGGACACCAGGATGGGCAGGGGACCCCCAGGAACAGGACCGGGAAAGGGACATCCAGAAACCAGGGCAGGCATGGACTTGGGACACCCAGGGATGGGGACAGGGCTGTGTCACCCAGGGATGAGGATGGGGACACCCAGGGATGGGGATGGGGACAGGGCTGTGTCACCCAGGGATGGGGATGGGGACAGGGCTGTGTCACCCAGGGATGAGGATGGGGACACCCAGGGATGGGGATGGGGACAGGGCTGTGTCACCCAGGGATGGGGATGGGGACAGGGCTGTGTCACCCAGGGATGGGGATGGGGACAGGGCTGAGTCACCCAGGGATGGGGATGGGGACAGGGCTGTGTCACCCAGCGATGAGGATGGGGACACCCAGGGATGGGGATGGGGACAGGGCTGTGTCACCCAGGGATGGGGATGGGGACAGGGCTGTGTCACCCAGGGATGGGGATGGGGACAGGGCTGTGTCACCCAGCGATGGGCAGGGGACAGCCAGGCCAGGAGCAGCCAGGACAGAGGGACAGGGACCGTGAGCTGAGCAGGACGGGCACGGGGAGCTGGCGCAGGGACAGCAGCAGCAGCAGGAGCAGCAGGGAGAGGCCAAGGCCGGGCACTGCCGGAGGCGAGGCACGGAAGGACACACGGACAGGAAACGCCAGGACAGAGGGACAGGAGTGGCGGGGACTGGCACAGGCAGACGCGGGGACGGAAACAGCCGGGTCGGGGCGGACAGACGGACAAAGGCTGACACAGAGCCGCGGGAAAGGAAACAGCGAGGGCGGGAAACAGCTGGACAGACGGACGGACAGAGCCTGGCCTGGCAGAATGAGGGATGGGGACAGCTGGGAGGGGGACAGCCAGCACGGCCTGGCCTGGCTCAGCCCACTTGGACACAGCAGAGCATCCCAAACCCAGCTGGAGAAACTGCTGAGGAAACGAGTCCCACAGCTGAATTTCGGGGTGCAAACGGCACCTGAAGGGCTCCGCGGGGGCAGAAGGTGACACCAATGCCTTGACACGAGCCCTGTGGCACCAGCTGGCACAGCCGGGACCCAGCAGCAGCCCTGTGGGGTGGGGGCAATTTCAGGAGGGAAACGGAGCCACGTGTGACAGGGAAGGGGGAGGAGGTGAAGAAATCCGGGAGGAAGGATGGCCACAACCCCTGGGGACACAGGGACACGGCAGGAGGGGACAGAGCCACCACAGGGACAGGCTGGAGCCAGCAGGGCCCAGGCAGGGGCAGGTGAGCCCAGGGAGGGGCTCGGGGCAGGGCACAGCGGGATCCCCCCCACAGCACCCCGAGACGGCTCCTCTGCTGCTGGCAGGTGTCATTGTCCCCTCTCTGTCCCCAAAAGGGGCAGAACTGCACGCGTGGGACAAAGGCGGGGGTTGGAATGAACCCCCAGAGCACCCCGGAATTCCAGGGGGACGCAGCATCCCAAATCCTGCCGCTGGCACGGTGCCAAGGGCTCCAGCACCTCCACGCGACGTCCCCGTGCCAGCCCCAAGCCACGCCCCGAGTCCCTCCTGGGCGGGCGCTGCCCAGGTTTGCCCCCAGGGATGCCAGCCCGTGCCATGCAGCATTCCCGGGAATGCCAGCCCGTGCCATGCAGCATTCCTGGGAATGCCAGCCCGTGCCATGCAGCATTCCCGGGAATGCCAGCCCGTGCCATGCAGCATTCCTGGGAATGCCAGCCCGTGCCATGCAGCATTCCTGGGAATGCCACCCTGTGCCACCCTGCAATCCCGGGAATGCCAGCCCGTGCCTCCCCGCATTCCTGGGAATGCCAGCCCGCGACACCGCGGCTGCCAAGCGCGAGTTTTCCGTGACACCATTAAGAAAATCCCGTGTCAACAACAACTTCCTGCGGGCCCCGGAGCAGGCGCGGCGCCCCCAGAACAAATAAACGCCGCGGGAGCGCCGGAATTCGGGGCTGGACGGAGGCCACAGGGGCCGGAGCCGCGCGTGGGGTGGCAGCTCCCACATCTGTCACTCCAGGGATGGGCAGGGGACAGCCAGGGACGGGAGCAGGGAAGGGACATCAGGGAAACAGGGATGGGACCACCAAGGACATCCAGAAACCAGGGATGGTGCCACCCCGGTGCCACCCACAGCACCCAGGGGTGGCATGGAGGGGTCTCTCCGTCTGGAAATGTGAGTGCCAGCATTGAGGGGACCCACAGGGTCACTGCCACCACTGCTGTCCCCTGCCCGGCCTTGGGAGCCAGGAGGGGACGGACAGCGGGATGGGAGTGAGGGGAGTTTGCTCCCCACAGGGCACAGCTGGACACCCCCACCCCCCAGGACCCACAGGGGGTCCCAATGTCACCAGGCTCAGGGACACCTCTCCTCCCCACCCAAAATTCCAATGTCACCAGGCTCAGGGACACCTCTCCTCCCCACCCAAAATTCCAATGTCACCAGGCTCAGGGACACCTCCCCCCCCGAGATCCCAAATCCCAATGTCACCAGGCTCAGGGACACCTCTCCCCCCGAGATCCCAAATCCCAGTGTCACCAGGCTCAGGGACACCTCTCCCCCCCACCCAAATCCCAGTGTCACCAGGCTCAGGGACACCTCACCTCCCCACCCCAAATCCCAGTGTCACCAGGCACAGGGACACGTCCCTGTCCACTGTCCCACCCACGGGACACCTCCCTGGCATGTGCCAGGCGGGATGTGCCCTCTGCCTGCCCGGCCCCGCAGCTCTGGCCATCCCGGCTGGCTCCCCTGGCCACTCTCCAGAGGGATTTCCAGGAAATGTCCCCTCCCGGCTGGGTTTGGCACCGAGGGCCAACCCGACCGACGTCCGTCCCTCCCCAGCGCTCAGGCCGTGGGACGAGCAGGGACCTCCTCCCTCCGTGCCACCCGCGGCAGTGCCACTCCTGGGGTCCCTCTTGCTGTGTCCCCCACGAGGGGACACACGGCCACGTCCGGCCTGTGACACCCCGGCAGGACCCAGCTGTGGATCCCCCTCTCGGTGTCCCCAGTGCCACCCAGGAGGTGACACAACCTGAGCTGGCCCCGCGGTCCCTCACCCTGCAGGGACAGGGACCGACCCTCGCGCGGGGTCAGGGACAAGGACACGGCGAGGGCTGAGCCCCTTCCTGGGGTGCACAGCCGGGGGGGGGGCTCCAGGAGAGCCCCCAGCCCCATCCCCGCCCCCGGGCACGTTCCCCACGGGTGTCCCCAAGGCGCGGGTGCCACCATGCCCCAGACGCTCCCTCCCCACCCGAGGAGTTCCCGTTCTTTGTCTCCCGAGCCGCACCCCGCGGCCCCCGGGGACACCCCGCCCGCTGTCCCCACGTGCGGGGTGGGACAGGGCACACACCTGCGGCTGCCCCGCGCCCCATTCCGCGACCATCCACCCGAAAATCAGCGCCCGGCCCCCCGCCCGCTGCCCGGGCAGCCGCCCCCGATCGCTGCCCACCCCCTTGGCAGGGCAGAGCCACCGCTGCTCGACCCCCACCCCAATCCCGGCGGCCGCAGGAGCGGATCGGGGGGGGCAGGAGCGGATTTGGGGGAGCGGGAGTGGATTTGGGGGATCAGGAGGGAATCTGGGGGAGCAGGAGCGGATTTGGGGGAGCAGGAGCGGATCCGGGGGAGCAGGAGGGAATCGGGGGGAGCGGATCCAGGGGAGCAGGAGCCCCCCGCCCGCCGCTCCCTGCGGAGCCGCTTCCGCGCCGCAGACAAAGGCAGCGAGAGGGGAATCCAGGCTGGATGGAAGATGGGTTTTAACCTAATCCCCGGAATTAAAACGAAGAAAAGCAAAAGCGGGGCGCGGGGAGGAGGTGGGGGGCAGCGGCATCGGGGCGGGGCGCGCAGAGTGACCCCCGGGGGCGGCGGGGGTGCCCCGCTGGGGTGGGGTCTCGCCGGGTGCCCCCCCCCCAGCGCCCTCCCGGCTCCAGGCAGGCGCTTCCAGCCGGCAGCTCCCGTTCCCTGGCGGCGGCAGCGGCACGAAGCCATTTTGAGCGGGCGGCGAGACGAAAGGGTTACGGCCCCAGCCCCTCCTTCCCTGCCCGCCAGCGGGGCCGCCGGGATAAACAACAGCGAGCCAGGGGGGCTCGGGGCCGGGAGCGGCCGGGAATCCCGGCAGCGAGGCAGCGCAAAGCCGGGCAGGGCGGCGGGGGGGGCGCCGAGGACTTACGTGCTCATCGCACATCGGGGAGGGGCCGCGATCCCGCCGGGATTTGGGGAGCCCCGGGCGCTGCGCAGCATCCCCGGCTGCCGGGGGCCGCGGGTGCCGCTCCCGGCGGGGCGGAGGGCGGCCGGGCAGCGCTGCCGGAGCCTCCCGGCCGTGCCCGGTGCCGGCGGGCACATGCCAACCTGCTGCCGCTCACGGCCTAAAATTACCACGACCCCTTCCAGAGGCGTCGCCGCCAATCAGGGCGGCAGGGAAGGCGTGCGGGCGGCTCGGGAGCTCCTCTGCATTGCAGCTGGATGTGGGAAGAGGGGATTTTTCCAGCGGGGAAAACGCAGGCGGCAGCGGGGGGCCGGGCGCTCGCAGCCCCCGGGGGGATGCTGCACCGCGCCGTGTCCCCGCCATGTCCCCGCGGTGGCTTTGCCGGTGGGGCGGGGGACACCCCGGGGGTGCGGGGTGCGGGGTGTGGGGGTGCTGATGGCGGTGGTCACCAGCTGGGTGACACGGCCACGCTGTGGCACCCCCGGGCTCCCCCCTCGCGGGAGGGGGGGTGGATTTGGCAGCACGCGGCCCCCAACGTGCGGCCGGAGCTCGCTGCGCGCTGGGGACGTGCCGTGCCCGCAGCGCTGGCCCCGCGCGGGTCCCCAGCGCTGCCCCAGCCCCTCCAGCCCTTCCGAGGGTCGGGGGGTGCGGGGCACCCACGGGGCATCAGATCCTGCGCTGGGATCTGGCCTGAGCCGGGGCGATGGGGGAGGCGGGGGAAACATGAGGGGGATGCGGGGAGGGAGCTGAACCCCAAAATTAGGGGGGGATGGTCGGGAGGGGAGAGACCCCCACCCCAGAGACCCTCCTGTCCACGGAGAGCCACGGCACGGGGGGTCCGAGAGACCTCCAGCCCCGGGTGGGCGGCGGGGAGGGGCAGCACAGCCCGGCCGGAGCGGGACGGGGGCTGGAGGCGTTGGCCGGTGAATACCGGGATGGGGAGACACGGCAAAGGAGCCCCCCGGGGTTTTTCCACACGCCACGGCGGCTCCAGCCCGTTCCCCGCGCAGAGACCCCCTCCCCACATCGCGGGCGGGACCCGCCCGGGGCTGTGGCAGAGCAGGGACAGGGTCCCGCGGCACACCTGGGCTGCGTGAGGCGCACGGGGGGCGCTGGGGGTCTCAGGGGTGCTGCCGGGGGTCCCGGCTGGGCGATGCTGCGGAGGGGCTCAGGCGGTGCCGGGGCAGCAGGTGGGCGGCGGGGAGGTGACGCCGGGGGCCGGGGGAAGGTGGGTGGGTGGGGCAGAAAGCAGCAGGTGGGGAGCACAGCGCTGCCGGCTGGGGTCCCCGGGGGGGTCGGACCCCCGGAACGGCGCCGCGCCCGTGGGTGCTGGACCCGTCCGGTCCCCGCCGCGGCGGCTCCGGCCCCGCTCCCCGTCCCGGTCCCGCTCCTTATCCCGGTCCCGATCCTACCTGCTCCATGGGGCCGCTCAGGGGGCGGGCGCGGCGCTCCGGCCGCGGGCCATGGGCCGGTCCCGCCGCCGGTGCTGGTGTCTGTGTCGATCCCGCTGCCGGTGGCAGGTTGGTGGCACTGTCTGTCCCCTGGGGCACTGGGCCTGGGCCATGCCTCAGTTTCCCTTCAAGTGATCCCATGCCGTGCCTCAGTTTCCCTTGAATTGATCCCATTCCATCCCTCAGTTTCTCTTGGATAGCTCCAGGCTGTGCCTCAGTTTCCCCTGGAGTGGTTCTGTGCTGTGCCTCAGTTTCTCTGCTTGGTTCCAGGCTGTGCCTCAGTTTCCCTTGGATGGCTCCAGGCCATGCCTCGGTTTCCCCCAGGCTGGTCCTGTGCCGTGCCTCTTTCCCTCCCCACCCCGTGCCTCAGTTTCCCTTGGATTGTGATCCAAGCCCGTGCCTCAGTTTCCCTCGGATGTCCCCACCCCGTGCCTCAGTTTCCCTCGTTCCCGCACTCCCCTTAGCGCATCGGGGTGAGCGAGGCCGAGGAGGGGCAGCGCCCCCCCCACACCCCCCAGGACCCAGCCCCAAACTGGGGGTTCAGAGACCCCAAACCCACCCCTGGGCCAGGCCCGGCCCCGTGGCTGGACAGCGCTGGCCAAGGGTGGGATTTGGGCACGGGATTGAGGGGTGGGATTTAGGGACGGGATTTTGGGGTGGGATTTTGGAATGGGATTGAGGGATGGAATCTTGGGATGGGATTGAGGGGTGGGATTGATGGATGGGATTTTGGGATGGGATTGAGGGTTGGGATTTAAGGATGGAATTTTGGGATGGGATTCAAGGACGGGGAGCAGCACCCCGCCACCCAACGGGATTTTTTTCCACGGGGTGGGCATCCCCCCCTCCCCCCGACCCAGCGGGAGCCGGGGCTGCACTCGGGGGTCCCGGGGGGCCCGGGGCCGCACTCGGGGGTCCCGGGGGGCCCTGGGGCGCACTCGGGGGTCCCGGGGGGCCCGGGGCTGCACTCGGGGGCGGGGCCGCACTCGGGGGTCCCGGGGGGCCCGGGGCTGCACTCGGGGGTCCCGGGGGGCCCTGGGCTGCACTCGGGGGTCCCGGGGGGCCCGGGGCCGCGGCGGCACGGCGGGATTGGGGTCGGGGTCGGGGGGAGGCGGAGCGGGAAGAAAGCGCCCTTTGTCCGGGGCCGCGCCGCCCGCGGGGCCGCGCCGCTTTCTGATGCTAATGAGGAGGTAAAAATAAAGCTCCGGGCCCGCTCGGGGGCGGCCGGACAAAAGCGGCTTTTTTTGGGGGGCCCTGGGCCAGCCAGGGGGTGCCCCCGGTCCCCACGGGCTCCTCCGGGCTGTGGGTGCACCCCGGGGTCCCGAATTCCCGGAGCATTCCCGGGGTCCCGCACTCAGCACCACCCCAAAGCTTCCCCGGGGCTGCAGGGACCCCAAATCTGCCTCGCTTCCCATCCCGGGGACCCCAAATCCTTCCCCATCCTGGGAAGCTCGAGTAGGCCTCGCTCCCCATCCCTGAGACCCCAAATTCGGCTTTTTCTCCATCCCGGGGATCCCAAATCTGCCCTGCTCCCCGCCCCGGGGGTCCCAGATCCGCCCCATCCTGGGGACCCCAAATCCACCTCGTCCCCCACCCAGGGGACCCCAAATCCACCTCATCCCCCACCCAGGGGACCCCAAATCCACCTCGTCCCCCACCCAGGGGACCCCAAATCCACCTCATCCCCCACCCAGGGGACCCCAAATCCCCCTCGTCCCCCACCCAGGGGACCCCAAATCCACTTCATCCCCACACAGGGGGCTCCGAATCGGCCTCACTCCCCATCCCTGAGACCCCAAATCCGCCCCATTCCCTGTCCAGGGGACCCCAAATCCACCACATCCCTGAGACCCCAAATCTGCCCATTCCCTGTCCCGGGGACCCCAATCCCGCCCCATTCTGGGGACCCCAAACCCGCCCCGAAGGGCCCTCCAGGGTCCCTGCAGCCAAAAGGACCCAAAAACCCAAAAAATAACCCCAAGAGGAGCCGCGGGTGCCGCGACACCGCCACTGTCCCCAGGGCGGGGCAGGGACCCCGAACCCCCGGGCCGGAGGAGGAGGAGGAGGAGGAGGAGGAGGAGGAGGGGGGATGAAGGGGATGAAGCTCCCGGGGGCTCGGAGCCCCCCCAGACCCCCCCAGCCCCAATTGTGTCGCTCTGCCACGGCCGGGGGCGACCAGAGCGACCCCAGGGGGAGGGAAATGGGGAAGGGGCTGGGGAGGGGATTTGGGGGGCAGGAAGGGAGTTTGGGGTGCAAGAGGGGGATTTGGGGGGCAGGAGGGGGATTTGGGCTCCTCCAGCCCCTCGGGGTCTCAGCCCCCCCCACAGGGATGTGGGAACCAGGGGCACCCCGAGATCCGCGGGGGCACCGGGGGGGCACTGGGGGCACCCCGGATGGGTTTGGGGTGCCAGGAGCACCCCGGGGGGGCACCCAAAAATCCCCCAGATTTATTTTTGGGAACTGGGAGCTCCCTGGTGGGTCTGGGGGTACCAGGATGCCCCAAAAAAGGGGAATGAAGGGGCTGGGAGGGGGCTCGGAATTCACCACAGAAAACATTCAACAATTTCCAAGGTTTTTATTTCAAACCCTTTCTCTCTTCCCTTCCCACCCCCAGCAAAAAAAAAAAAAAAAACAAAACCAAAATCCCAAACAACCCAAAAAAACCCCAAAAATCGACGCTAAAAATGAGTTTTACAAACACCAAGTCAGCTCTTCCTGGCTGACCCCGTAGGGAAAAAAACACCCCAGAAAAAAAAACCCAAAACCCCCAAAATCCAGGAATTCCACACCAGCAGTTCCTAAAATCCCCCACAAGAGGCCAAACATGCCTATAAATACAATATTTACACACAAACCCCACAGCTCCCCACCCCAAAAAATAACCAAACACACCCAAAAGTGCATTTGTGGTTCATATCAAAAACCCATTATTATTAATATTATTATTATTAATTTTTTTTCATTAAATCTGAAAGATTGGCCTGCAAAGTCCATTTGGTTTTTTTTTTATTATTATTATTATTTTTTTAACCATTTAGTAACTTTTCTCATATATTTATGAAAATAAATTATACAGCCACTATCTGAATAAATTAAGCACACACACAAAAAAAAAAATTAAGATTAAAATTAAAATTAAAAATAAAAGAAGGGGGATGAAAATAAAAATAAAATTAAGCAAAAGCTGCATTTTTAATTTTTTTTTTTTTAAATTCCAAAGGGTGATTCCCAAAATCCTGGATATCTCATGCCCTGGGAGCTGCTGGAATCTGCTCATTCCTCATTAAAGGTGAGGCTGGGTCCCGTGAAATTCCTGGGATTTGGGGTGAAGGCCTGGACTGGGAGCACGGGGAGCACCCCAGGGTGGATTTTGGGACACTGGGAGCTCCCCAAGGTGGATTTTTAGGGACTGGAAGAACCCCAGGGTGGATTTTGGGACACTGGGAGCACTGGGAATGGCCCAGGGTGGATTTTGGGGCACTGGGAGCGCCCCAGGGTGGCAAAAAAAAATCCCCAAAGCACCCCAAAAGCCCCAGCTCCCATTCCCAGAGCCCCCCAGCTCTGCTCTTCCCTGACCTGCTGCTCCCCCTTCCCAAAAAGTGGGAATGCTGCCACCACCGCCCCATGGAGGGAACGGGATTTTCCCAGGATTTTCCCGGGGTTTTCCCGGGATTTTCCCAGGATTTTCCCCAGATTCTCCCCGGATTTTCCCCGAATTTTCCCCAAATTTTCCCGGGATTTTCCCCGGATTTTCCTGGGGTTTTCCCGGGATTCTCCCCGGATTTTCCCCGAATTCTCCCCGGATTTTCCTGGGTTTTTCCCGGGATTTTCCCCAGATTTTCCCCGGACTGCCCCACACCTTCCCAGCTCCCTGCATCCCATTTTCCAGCCCGATCCACCCCTCCCTTCTCCTTTCCTGTTCCTGGAAGGAGAGCTGGAGCAGGCTGGCTCCCGGGAAGGTTTTCCCCCACAGTCCCATGAGGTATTTCCATGGAATTTCAGGCTCAGATTCACCCAGAAACCTGGAATTTTTTTTTTTTTTTTAAGGGTTGTGGGTTTTTTCCCTCCAAATCCCAGCTGGAGGAGGCAGGCAGGGCAGGATTTGTAGCACCTCTCGTGGCAAAGCAGCTTGGAATTTTTTCCCACTGAAATCCACAGGAATTCCAGGGCTGGGATCACCCTGGCAGCTCCCAGGGCTCCAGGGAATCCTCAGATCCAGCAGGGTGGGGCGATTCCTTGGATTCAGAGCACTGGAATGCCGCTCCTTGAAACACAGCAGGGAGGAACTCTCCAGAATTCCCAGCTGGAAGCTCCCCCGCGGAATTCCTGCTCAGGGGATGGAGCAGCAGCCCGGGATCCCAAGGGGAGAGGGAGGGAATTCGAGCCCAAAATCAGGGAAAGAGCCAAAACTCCCCTGGATCTGCTGCTCCTGATGTCCCAGGGAGAGGAGGGAGCTGCTCCGGGAGGATCCTCCAGAGGGAACCACTCCATTCCCAGCCTCTGGAATCCGCCAGGGACAGGCCGGGAGCGCCCACCCCGATCCTGCAGGATCCAGGGGCAGCTCCAGCAATTCCAGCAGCAGCTTCTCCACCTTCCCGGGGCTCCAGGGGAATCTTCCAGCAACGTTCCCTCCGGATCCAGCTCATCCCACGCTCCTCCCTCCTTCCTCGGCTCCCAGCTTTTCCCAGGAGGCTCCTGCCGGCCCCGGAGGGTTTGGATCTCTCTGCCCGAATCCCGGGAAGCGGGGGAGCTGTGGAGCCGCCCCGAGCTCCACAATTCCTTTATTCCCAGGGGTTATTCCCAGGGCTCTTCCATCCCCCGGCTCCGTCTGCAGCTCTCCAGCGAGGATCAAAGCCTGGCCACCGCGCCTCGGAGCAGACGGATCTTCCCACAAAATTCCCTCTTTTTTTCCCCTCTTTTTTCCTCTCCCCCGCCTTGAAATTCCCAAGGTGGGATGGAAAAATCCGGCGGGATCGGAAAATCCAGTTTTTCCTCATGCTGAAAATCCCCAAAAAAAAATTAAAAATAAAAAATCCAGAGACATCCAAACTGAAAACTTCCAGGAGAACTTGGGAATAGTGCCACGACATTCTCTGTTCCGCGGGGACCCCGCGGGGCCGGGCTGGGCTCCCCCAGGATTCCTTTTCCCAGGAGCCGGGGCTCCGGATCCTGCTCTGCTGGCTTTCCTGGGAATGCTGGCTTTCCTGGGAATGCTGGGCCCTCTCCTCCAGGGAAAAGAGCAGCAGCAGGAGCTCGGCCTCCTCCCCACCACGGCAGGAGGGCAACAACAAAATTCCTGCCGGGAAAAAACACCGGGAACTGGGATCAGATGGGGCTGGGGAGAGGGGGAATGGGAATGGGAGCAGGGGAGGAGCAGCAGGGAATGCTCAAAGGCCAGGAAGCCTTGTTCTCCTTCCCAAGGAAAGCTGGGAATGGGAGGAGAACACGAGACCTTGTTCTCCTCTCCAGAGAAGGTCTGGGAATGGTGAAAGGCCAGGAATGCTGTTCCCTTTCCCAAAGAAAAGCCGGGAATGACGGAGGACAGAGCCAGACCCCTGGGGGAGCGGCCACGGCTCCTCGGGGGGTTTGTGGTTCTTTGGGAGCAGCAGGAGGGGATGGATCCTGGGATGAGGCACCACTCCCAGCCATTCCTGAACCACTCCAAACCATTCCCAGACCACGGCTGAACTGTTCCTGGGGCATTCCCAGACCATTCCTGGGGCATTCCCAGACCATCCTGACCGCCCCTGGACCATTCCGAATCATTCCAGACCATTCCTGAAGCATTGCAGGACCATTCCCAGATAGTCCTGGCCATCCCTGGATCATTCCAGACCATTCCTGAACCATCCCAGACCATTGACAGACCATTCCTGAAGCATTCCAGGACCACTTCCACACCATTCCCAGACCATTCCCAGACGCCTGGCCATCCCTGGATCATTCCAGACCATTCCTGAACCATCCCAGACCATTGACAGACCATTCCTGAAGCATTCCAGGACCACTTCCACACCATTCCCTGACCATCCCCAGACCATTCCCGATCATCCCAGACCATTCCCAGACAGTCCTGACCATCCCCAGCCCATTCCCAATCATCCCAGACCATTGCCAGACAGTCCTGACCATCCCCAGCCCATTCCCAATCATCCCAGACCATTCCCAGATGGTCCTGACCATCCCCAGACCATTCCCAATCATCCCAAACCATTCCCAGACCATTCCAAATCATCCCAGACCATTCCTAGATGGTCCTGACCATCCCTAGACCATTCCCAATCACCCCAGACCATTCCCAGACCATTCCCGGGCCATTCCCAGACCACTCCCGGGCCATTCCCAGACCATTCCCGGGCCATTCCCAATCACCCCAGACCATTCCCAGACCACTCCCAGACCATTCCCGGCCCATTCCCGGCCCATTCCCGCACCGTCAGCGGCTCCGGCCCCGCTACGTGGAGGATTCCGGGGAGGATTGGGGCTCCGGCCTCTGCCGGGAGATGAGCTGCGCCTCCTTGAGGGACAGGTACTGCTCCTCCTGCGGGTCGTAGTAGTAGAACTTGCGGATGTAGGAGATCAGGGGCCTGGAAAAACACCGGGAACGGCCGGGTCCCTGAGCACAGCCCCTCCAAAATTCCCAGAGCACACCCAGAGCCTCTTCCCTGGAAAAGCACTGGGAAGAGCAGGGTCCCAGATCACAGCCCCTCTGAAACATTCCCAGAGCACAGCCCCTCTGACATTCCCAGAGCACACCCAGAGCCTCTTCCCTGGAAAAACACCGGGAACGGCTGGATCCCTGAGCACAGCCCCTCCAAAATTCCCAGAGCACAGCCCCTCTGACATTCCCAGAGCACACCCAGAGCCTCTTCCCTGGAAAAGCACTGGGAAGAGCAGGATCCCAGAGCACAGCCCCTCTAAAACATTCCCAAAACACACCCAGAGCCTCTTCCCTGGAAAAACACCGGGAACGGCCGGATCCCTGAGCACAGCCCCTCTGAAACATTCCCAGAGCACACCCAGAGCCTCTTCCCTGGAAAAGCACTGGGAAGAGCAGGATCCCTGAGCACAGCCCCTCCAAAATTCCCAGAGCACAGCCCCTCTGACATTCCCAGAGCACACCCAGAGCCTCTTCCCTGGAAAANATCCCAGACCATTCCCAATCATCCCAGACCATTCCCAGACAGTCCTGACCATTCCCAGACCATTCCCAATCATCCCAGACCATTCCCAATCATCCCAGACCATTCCCAGATGGTCCTGACCATCCCCAGACCATTCCCAATCATCCCAAACCATTCCCAGACCATTCCAAATCATCCCAGACCATTCCTAGATGGTCCTGACCATCCCTAGACCATTCCCAATCACCCCAGACCATTCCCAGACCATTCCCGGGCCATTCCCAGACCACTCCCGGGCCATTCCCGGACCATTCCCAATCACCCCAGACCATTCCCAGACCATTCCCAGACCATTCCCGGGCCATTCCCAGACCGTTCCCGGCCCATTCCCAATCACCCCAGACCATTCCCAGACCATTCCCGGGCCATTCCCAGACCACTCCCGGGCCATTCCCAGACCACTCCCGGGCCATTCCCGGGCCATTCCCAGACCACTCCCGGGCCATTCCCAGACCATTCCCAATCACCCCAGACCATTCCCAGACCACTCCCAGACCATTCCCGGCCCATTCCCGGCCCATTCCCGCACCGTCAGCGGCTCCGGCCCCGCTACGTGGAGGATTCCGGGGAGGATTGGGGCTCCGGCCTCTGCCGGGAGATGAGCTGCGCCTCCTTGAGGGACAGGTACTGCTCCTCCTGCGGGTCGTAGTAGTAGAACTTGCGGATGTAGGAGATCAGGGGCCTGGAAAAACACCGGGAACGGCCGGGTCCCTGAGCACAGCCCCTCTGACATTCCCAGAGCACACCCAGAGCCTCTTCCCTGGAAAAACACCGGGAACGGCCGGATCCCTGAGCACAGCCCCTCTGAAACATTCCCAGAGCACACCCAGAGCCTCTTCCCTGGAAAAGCACTGGGAAGAGCAGGATCCCAGAGCACAGCCCCTCTAAAACATTCCCAAAACACACCCAGAGCCTCTTCCCTGGAAAAACACCGGGAACGGCCGGATCCCTGAGCACAGCCCCTCTGAAACATTCCCAGAGCACACCCAGAGCCTCTTCCCTGGAAAAACACCGGGAACGGCCGGGTCCCTGAGCACAGCCCCTCCAACATTCCCAGAGCACACCCAGAGCCTCTTCCCTGGAAAAACACCGGGAACGGCCGGGTCCCTGAGCACAGCCCCTCCAAAATTCCCAGAGCACAGCCCCTCTGACATTCCCAGAACACACCCAGAGCCTCTTCCCTGGAAAAACACCGGGAACGGCCCGATCCCAGAGCACAACCACTCTGAAACATTCCCAGAGCACACCCAGAGCCTCTTCCCTGGAAAAGCACTGGGAAGAGCAGGGTCCCAGATCACAGCCCCTCTGACATTCCCGGAGCACAGCCCCTCTGACATTCCCAGCACCTCCACAGGAACACAGCTGCATCCCAAAGCTCTGGCACAGCAGGGAATTCCTGACTCCCAAGCCGCTCAGAATTCCCTGCACCCCCAAACCCCACAGGACATCGATCCCGCTATCCCAAAGCTGGAAAAGCCAACGATTCCCTCCCGGATCCGTGGGCACGGATCTCTGCCCGCTGCTGGGGAGGGAATTCCGGGACTGATCCCTGGGGAATGCCGGGGCTCACTTGGGCAGCGGGAGCTCGGGAATGTGGTCGATCCGGACCAGCTGCCGGATGCGGAAGCGGCAGAGGTGCTGCAGGGATTTGACGTTGCTGAACCTGGAGACGGGATACAGGAGCTGCACGGGCGTCGGGGGGAGACCTTTGGGGGGAAAGGAGATTTGGGGGATCAGGATTAGGCAGGATTAGGCTCCCAGGCTCACCTGGAACCCTGGACAATCCCATTCCCCAATTCACCTGGATCCCTGGCCAATCCCATTCCCGAATTCACCTGGATCCCTGGCCATTCCCATTCCCGAATTCACCTGGATCCCTGGCCAATCCTATTCCCAAATTCACCTGGATCCCTGGCCAATCCCATTCCCGAATTCACCTGGATCCCTGGACAATCCCATTCCCGAATTCACCTGAAACCCTGGACAATCCAATTCCCGAATTCACCTGGAACCCTGGACAATCCCATTCCCGAATTCACCTGGAACCCTGGACAATCCAATTCCCGAATTCACCTGGAACCCTGGCCAATCCCATTCCCGAATTCACCAGGATCCCTGGACAATCCCATTCCCCAATTCACCTGGCACCCTGGACAATCCCATTCCCAAATTCACCTGGAACCCTGGACAATCCCATTCCCAAGCTCACCTGGCCAATCCCATTTTCAGGCTCACCTGGATCCCTGGCCAATCCCAATCATATTCCCAGGCTCACCTGGAACCCTGGACAATCCCAATCCCGAATTCACCTGGATCCCTGGCCAATCCCATTCCCAGGCTCACCTGGATCCCTGGCCAATCCCAATCATATTCCCAGGCTCACCTGGAACCCTGGACAATCCCATTCCCGAATTCACCTGGATCCCTGGCCAATCCCATTCCCGAATTCACCTGGATCCCTGGCCAATCCCATTCCCGAATTCACCTGGATCCCTGGACAATCCCAATCCCATTCCCAGGCTCTCCTGGAATCCTGGCCAATCCTGTTCCCGGGCTCCCCTGGATCCCTGGCCATTCCCATTCCCGAATTCACCTGGATCCCTGGACAATCCCAATCCCATTCCCAGGCTCTCCTGGAATCCTGGCCAATCCTGTTCCCGGGCTCCCCTGGATCCCTGGCCATTCCCATTCCCGAATTCACCTGGATCCCTGGACAATCCCAATCCCATTCCCAGGCTCTCCTGGAATCCTGGCCAATCCTGTTCCCGGGCTCCCCTGGATCCCTGGCCATTCCCATTCCCGAATTCACCTGGATCCCTGGACAATCCCAATCCCATTCCCAGGCTCTCCTGGAATCCTGGCCAATCCTGTTCCCGGGCTCCCCTGGATCCCTGGCCATTCCCATTCCCGAATTCACCTGGATCCCTGGACAATCCCAATCCCATTCCCAGGCTCTCCTGGAATCCTGGCCAATCCTGTTCCCGGGCTCCCCTGGATCCCTGGCCATTCCCATTCCCGAATTCACCTGGATCCCTGGACAATCCCAATCCCATTCCCAGGCTCTCCTGGAATCCTGGCCAATCCTGTTCCCGGGCTCCCCTGGATCCCTGGCCATTCCCATTCCCGAATTCACCTGGATCCCTGGACAATCCCAATCCCATTCCCAGGCTCACCTGGAATCCTGGCCAATCCTGTTCCCGGGCTCACCTGGATCCCTGGCCATTCCCATTCCCGAATTCACCTGGATCCCTGGACAATCCCATTCCCGAATTCACCTGGATCCCTGGCCAATCCCATTCCCGAATTCACCTGGATCCCTGGCCAATCCCAATCCCGTTCCCGGGCTCACCTGGGACCCGGGAGCGCAGGAAGTAGAGGAATTTCCCATTTTTGGAGTGCATGATCGCCCTCTTGATGAACTCCACCACGGACTGGCAGCGGTCCTCGAACTTGGGGTGGCACCACAGGCTGAAGGTCCCTTCCACGAGAGAAAGAATTCCCATTATTCCAGGGGAATTTTGGGAAATCACAGCGGAGTTATTCCTGTTATTCCAGGGGAATTTTGGGAAATCACAGGGGAGTTATTCCTGTTATTCCAGGGGATTTTTGGGAAAGCAGCTTCCCCAGAACCATCACAGAAACAACAGGGGAGGATATTCAGGGACAAATCTGGCATTCCCAAAATCCCCTGGAATGGGCTCTGTTTTATGGACTTGGGAACAGCTAAACTTTTCAATATTCATATATTGAATAAATTAAATATTCTTATAGTTAATAAATTAAACATTCTTATATTGAGTGAATCTAATATTACTATATTTAGGAAATTAAATATTCTCATATTCTGGAGCGTCCCTGCCCCATCCCAGCATTCCCAGGGGAAGGTGACCTTGGAGCATTCCCAGCTCCAGCTGCTGCTGTCCCCATTTCCCAGCCCTGGGATCATCTTCCATGGCAGCAGTTTCACGTTCCTGCTCCTTGATTAACGGGATTGTTAATTAGGCCCCGGGTCACCCTTTGTCCCCGCGCTGCCACCTGACCCGTCCAGGTGACACTGGAGCTGGGGACAGCAGAGCTCCGGGAGGGTCACAGCAGGCTGGCACCCCCTCCTCCCACCAAAACCCGCACTTCCCAGGAATAAACCCTCCCTAAAATTTCCATTTGTCAGAATTTCCTTTAAATCCAGTTTTCCGGGACACAGCCAGCTCCTTATTCCCATTTTTCCAAGGCACAGCCAGCTCCTTATTCCCATTTTTCCCAGGCACTGCCAGCTCTCTATTCCCACTTTCCCAAGGCACTACCAGCTCCTTATTCCCATTTTTCCAAGGCACTACCAGCTCCTTATTCCCATTTTCCCAAGGCACTACCAGCTCCTTATTCCCATTTTTCCCAGGCACTGCCAGCTCTCTATTCCCACTTTCCCAAGGCACTACCAGCTCCTTATTCCCATTTTTCCAAGGCACTACCAGCTCCTTATTCCCATTTTCCCAAGGCACTACCAGCTCCTTATTCCCATTTTTCCCAGGCACTGCCAGCTCTCTATTCCCATTTTCCCAAGGCACTGGCAGCTCTTTATTCCCATTTTTCCAAGGCACTACCAGCTCCTTATTCCCATTTTTCCCAGGCACTGCCAGCTCTCTATTCCCACTTTCCCAAGGCACTACCAGCTCCTTATTCCCATTTTTCCCAGGCACTGCCAGCTCTCTATTCCCATTTTCCCAAGGCACTACCAGCTCCTTATTCCCATTTTTCCAAGGCACTACCAGCTCCTTATTCCCATTTTCCCAAGGCACTACCAGCTCCTTATTCCCATTTTTCCCAGGCACTGCCAGCTCTCTATTCCCATTTTCCCAAGGCACTGGCAGCTCTTTATTCCTCAGTAGTGCTCCGTGCGGGTGTGGTGGGTGATTTATAACCCCCTGGAGCTGGGAATGGCATCCCAAAGGCTCTGGGATCCCGGGAATGCTCACCTCGGTAGTGCTCCATGTGGGTTTATAACCCCCTGGAGCTGGGAATGGCATCCCAAAGGCCCCCGGATCCCGGGAATGCTCACCTCGGTAGTGCTCCATGCAGGTATTTATTTACTGGAGCTGGGAATGGCTCCCAGGGATCTGGGATCCCGGGAATGCTCACCTCGGTAGTGCTCCATCCAGGTGTGGTGGATAATAGATTTATAACCCCCTGGAGCTGGGAATGGCATCCCAAAGGCCCCCGGATCCCGGGAATGCTCACCTCGGTAGTGCTCCATGCGCGTGTGGTGCGTGATGCCCTGCGAGCGGAAGCTCAGGCTCAGGATGTAGCGGGGGTCGGAGCTGTCCCGCACCAGGAAGGAGCCGTCGGGTTTCCCCTTCAGCTTCATCTCGGCGTCCTCCCAGTTCATGGGGCCCCAGTACCACCCGCACTGGGAACACAGAGCGCAGCTGGCACCGGCCCTCCCTGGGAGAGCTCCCCGCCGCCTCCATCCCGGGGGGATTTCCCTCCATCCCCCGGTGGAATTTCCCTCGATCCCCAGGTGGAATTTCCCCCGATCCCCGCGTGGAATTTCCCCCGCTATGGGCGGCTGGGATTGAGGGATGAGGGGACACCACACCCTGAGGGGACACAGGGGATCCAGATTCCCCTTCCACGCTCAGGAAAGGCTCTCCTGGACTCCAGAACCATGGATTCCCAAACCCCAAATCCTGAGGGGCCCAAATCCCAAACCCCAGTCCTGGAGGGGCCCAAATCCCAAACCCCAGTCCCGGAGGGGCCCAAATCCCAAACCCCAGTCCCTGAGGGGCCCAAATCCCAAACCCCAGTCCCGGAGGGCTCGGACTCTCCCGCCTGTTCCCGGTACCTTCTCCAGCTCCCTCAGGCTGGCGGCGAAGCTGGAACCATGGATTCCCAAACCCCAAATCTGGAGGGGCCCAAATCCCAAACCCCAGTCCCGGAGGGGCCCAAATCCCAAACCCCAGTCCCGGAGGGGCCCAAATCCCAAACCCCAGTCCCTGAGGGGCCCAAATCCCAAACCCCAGTCCCGGAGGGGCCCAAATCCCAACCCCCAATCCCGGAGGGGCCCAAATCCCAACCCCCAATCCCGGAGGGGCCCAAATCCCAAACCCCAGTCCCGGAGGGGCCCAAATCCCAACCCCCAATCCCGGAGGGGCCCAAATCCCAAACCCCAGTCCCGGAGGGCTCGGACTCTCCCGCCTGTTCCCGGTACCTTCTCCAGCTCCCTCAGGCTGGCGGCGAAGCTGCTGGGGTCGGGCCGGGCCAGGGGACACTGCAGGTGTGGCGGGGGACACTGCAGGGGTGGCTGGGGACACTGCAGGTGTGGCGGGGGCGGCTGGCCCGGCGCCTCCGGGGGCCGCGGGGGCACGATCCGGGGAAAGGCGTCTGCAGGGACAGACAGACGGGTCACTGTCACTGCCACTGCCATTGTCACTGTCACACAGACACAGCCAGGGTCACTGTCACTGCTACTGCCACTGTCACCCAGACACAGCAAGGGTCACTGCCACTGCCATTGTCACTGTCACACAGACACAGCCAGGGTCACTGTCACTGCTACTGCCACTGTCACCCATGTCACACAGACACAGCCAGGGTCACTGTCACTGCTGTCACCCAGACACAGCAAGGGTCACTGCCACTGCCATTGTCACTGTCATTGTCACTGCCATTGTCACTGTCACTGTCACCCAGAGACACCTGGAGACTCCAGGAGGGGAAAAGGTGGAGATTCCAAGAGGGGAAAAAAGCAGAATTCCAGGAAGGGGAAAAGCAGGATTCCAGGAGGGGGAAAAGCAGGATTCCAGGAGGAGGAAAAAGCGGAATTGCAGGAATGGGAAAAGCGGAATTGCAGGAGGGGAGAAAGCGGAATTCCAGGACGGGAAAAGCGGAATTCCAGGAAGGGAAAAGCAGAATTGCAGGAATGGGAAAAGCGGAATTGCAGGAAGGGGAAGGCAGAATTCCAGGAAGGGGAAAAGCAGAATTGCAGGAGGGGAAAAGCAGGATTCCAGGAGGGGGAAAAGCAGGATTCCAGGAGGGGGAAAAAGCGGAATTGTAGGAATGGGAAAAGCAGAATTGCAGGAGGGGAAAAGCAGGATTCCAGGAGGGGGAAAAGCAGGATTCCAGGAGGGGGAAAAAGCGGAATTGTAGGAATGGGAAAAGCAGAATTGCAGGAGGGGAAAAGCAGAATTGCAGGAGGGGAAAAGCGGAATTCCAGGAGGGGAAAAGTGGAATCCCAGGAGGGGAAAAGCGGAATTGCAGGAGGGGGAAGGCGGCGCCGGCCGAGCTGAGCTGACCTGGGGCGTGGGGCGGAGGCGGCGGAGGCAGCGGGAAGGATTGCAGGGAAGAGCCCACGGGCCCCAGCAGCACAGCCGGAGGCAGCACCCCGCCGAAATCATCTGGGAGAGAGCAGAGACGGGTCAGGAACCGGGAAAGAACAGCCCCAGAGTCTGGGAAACAGCACGGAAACGGGAATGGGGATTCCCAGCAGAGCTCCAGGGCCCGGAAAAGGGAATTTGGGGATTCCCTGGGTTTCCAAGGACCACTCCCAGGTTTCCAAGGACCATTCCCAGGTTTCCAAGGACCATTCCTGGATTTCCAAGGACCACTCCCAGGTTTCCAGGGACCATTCCCAGATTTCCAGGGACCACTCCTGGGTTTCCAGCGACCATTCCTGGATTTCCAGGGACCATTCCCAGGTTTCCAAGGACCACTTCCTGGTTTCCAGGACCATCCCCAGGTTTCCAAGGACCATTCCCGGGTTTCCAAGGACCATTCCCGGGTTTCCAGGACCACTCCCAGGTTTCCAGGACCATTCCCAGGTTTCCAGGACCATCCCTAGGTTTCTAAGGACCACTCCCAGGTTTCCAGGGCCCACCCCCGGGTTTCCAAGGACCATTCCCAGGTTTCCAGGGACCACTCCCAGATTTCCAGGGACCACTCCCAGGTTTCCAGGGCCCACTCCTGGGTTTCCAGGGACCACTCCCAGGTTTCCAGGGCCCACCCCCGGGTTTCCAAGGACCATTCCCAGGTTTCCAAGGACCATTCCCAGGTGTCCAGGGCCCACCCCCAGGTTTCCAGGGACCATCCCCGGGTTTCCAAGGACCATCCCCGGGTTTCCAAGGAGCATTCCCAGGTTTCCAGGGCCCACCCCCGGGTGTCCAGGGCCCACCCCCAGGGCAGTACCGAGCAGGCTGAGGCTGCGGCGCGGCGGCGGCGGAGGGGTCGGAGGGTGAGGGGAGCTGAGCCCTCGCTGGGAAATGTCCACGTCCACCAGCGACACCGTCTCGCCTGGAAGAGGAGAGGGAAAAGCCCACTTAGGGCTGGGATCGGGCAGGATGAGCACAGGGAAAGGAACTCCGCAGGCTTTGGGAGGTTTTTCCCCTTTGATGCTTCCAAAATGAATTTCTCCGTCTTTGGAGAGGCCTTGAGGGAATTTGCCCCAAGCCCTGCAGCTGGATGGGATGAGGAGGCTCCAAAAGGATTTTTTCCAGCATGGAATTGCCACAGCGAGCAGAGCTGATCCATGTGTGGCACCAGGGACACGGCCATTTTAAAAATAATTAAATTTTTAGGAGTCATTTTAAAAACAATCAGATAAACTAATAAATAATGAAATCAACCTCCCAAATTAAAGCATAAACTTGGCATCTCCAGGTTTTCCTCTGCAGATTCCTTTGAGGAAAAGCAACTCCTCTCCTGGGGGTCTCAGACCCCTTTCCTTGGGGTTAAACCCTTTCCTGGGGGTCTCAAACCCTGTCCTTGGGCTTAAGACCCCATTCCTGGTGGTTTAGGCCCTGTCCTGGGCTCAGATCCTCTCTTTTTGGGTCTGAGGCCAGCAGGACTGAGAGACACCACAGAGATCCCAGTCTGGGATCCCACAGGAGCAAAATTCCCCGTTCGTCCCACAGCAAAACAAAAAACCCCAAACTTGCACAAATCCCCCCCAAATCCTCACCTGTGAAGAGGGGGCTGAACACAACCGGGGAAAAGGCACTTTGGGTTCTTGTCAGTCTGTGTTTCCTGCGGGGGGAAAATGGGGGAAAATGGGGTGAGGGGATGAGGAGACTCGGAATCCCACCAGGAAAAAACCAGGAGATCCTTCTCCCACCAGGAGATCCTTCTCCCACGAGGAGAACCTTCTCCCACCAGGAGAATCTTCTCCCACCAGGAGATCCTTCTCCCACCAGGAGAACCCTCTCCATCCTTCCCAGCACCTCCATCCACGTGTTTCTCCAACTCCTGCTCAGGGCAGGGAACCAGGAGGAGCTGGCACTCCATCCTGCTCCAAAGCAAATCCCTGAGCAGGGAATTAATCAAGATTTTGGACAGAAAAGCCCAAGCGGGTGCCAGGGAGCCACGGAGCTGTTTCACAACAGACCTCACCCTGCTTCCCAGCATCGGGAATTGCCAAATTCCAGGGGCAAAACGGGGCTGGGTCCCGGAGCAAGCCGGGGTTGTGCCAGGAGCACCCCAAAAATGCAGGAGGGGGTGGGGGAGCTCAGCCCAGAGAGGCCAAAACGGGTGGGAACAGCTCCAAGGGCAGCCCTGGCGAGCACCAGCATTCCCAGGAGCAGCAGAATTCCCAGGAACAGCAGCGTTCCCAACCGGTTTTGTCACTGCCAGCTCCCACCAGACCCCTCCCACGTCCACGGTCAGGAGGCAACAACTTCCAGCTCCCAGCAGAACCAAGGGAAGGTCCTTCATCATCATCATCATCATCCCAGCAGGGCACCAGGCGAAAGGAGCAGGGATGAGCCGTCCCTCACCAGGGGAGGGGATTCCTGGAACGGGAGGCATCAAAGTCCTGTGTGACCCCAGGAGCTGCTGCAGCAGGCACCTTGGGGTAACCTGGGTTAAAAATGCCCAGACACTGCCAGGAGCTGCACGAGAAGTGGCCAACAGAGTGGCCACCAGAGTGACCACCAGAGTGGCCACCAAACCCCCTGACCACAGGAGGCCCAGGCAGCGATTCCCAGGCGTTTCCCTGCTCCCAGCCCTCTCCATCCCCAGCCCTGGGAGGTCCCAGGACTTCTGGGATACCCCAATCCCACGAGCAAAGCTTTCTGTCGTTCCAGGCACCTCCTCTGGGGCTCTTTGAGTCACCTGTGGGCAAGGAGCCACCACCTGCGGCTGCTGCAGCTCCCCACGTGCCCAGGGAGCTCCTCGGGGCCGCAGCAGCTCCAGAGCAGCCCCAGCCCCTGCCCGGCTGCAGGGCTGGGAGCTGCCAGCCCCCCAGCCAGCCCTGCTTGCAAGGGCAGCTCGTTTTGGGGCAGTTCTGGCCTCCTTGGCTGCCACGGGGCGCTGTCCCCACACGCCAGGGCTGCAGGTCACGCCTGACCCCGGGTCAGCAGCCCAGCCTGCGGAAAAACCTCCTGAAGCTCAGCAGGAGCAGGAAACACACCCCAAAATCCCCAGAGAGGGTGAATGAACCCTGAGGGAAGGCACTGCACCCACCCCTCCGTTCCCTGCTGCACGGAGCTGGGTGTTCTCCTGGCCTGCTCCAGGAGAAACCTCGGCTCTGCTGCTGGGAATGCCACGGAAAGCGATTCCAGGAGCCCGGGAAGCAGGGATGGAGCAGCTGGAACGGGGCTGAGGGACAGCAGGGACCCGGGGGGTCCCACACCAAGAAATCCCGGGATTTGTGCCCCCATCCCAGCCAAGCTGGGGCCGGCAGTGATTCCTCCTGCACGGAGGGAGGGAGAGCTGAGCCCCCACGGCAGCAGAGCCTGGGGAAATCACCCTGGAGGGGACAGAACGCCAGTCCCGAGGGGACAGCAGTGTCACCAGAGGGGACAGCACTGCCCCAGCACCTGCAGCAGCCCGAGCCACCCACCCTCATCGGCCGTGGAGTCACAGAACCTGCAGAAGCCCTCTGAGATCAGTGAGCCCGACCTGCCACAGGCGCCCACCACGGCCACCAGTGTCCCCAAATGCCACATCCTCACGTTTGCTGAGCAGCTCCAGGGAGGGCAATTCCACCACTTCCACGGGCAGCCTCTGCCTCACCACATTCCCCACCAAAAAATCTTCCCCAACATCCAACCTAAACCTCCCCCGGGCACAACCCGAGTCACCCCATCCCTGGAGCAGAGCCCGACCCGCACCTGGCTGCACCTTCCTGTCAGGAATTTGTGGAGCCAAAAGGTCCCCCCCGACCCTCCTCTGGCCCAGGCTGAGCCCCCCAGCTCCCCCAGCCGCTCCTCGCGGGACCGACGCTCCCGGTGCCGCTCCCAGAGGTTTTTCCGCCATCCCCATCAGGGATGCAGGGCTGGACCAGCGCGACCCTGCTCCGCCGGCCCCCGGGCTGCAGCGTCCCCGAGCGAGCGACGAGGCCTCGGCAGCAGCTCCGAGACCTTGAACCCGACCCGGAGGCGCCGAGCGGGATGGCCCCGGAGCCCCGCATCCCCCTCGGGCAGAGCATCGCAGCACGGCCCCGGGACACCGAGCACGGAACACCCCCGGCCCCGGGACACCGAGCACGGAACACCCCCGGCCCCGGCGGCATCCCCCCATCCCATCCCATCCCATCCCATCCCATCCCATCCCATCCCATCCCAGCCCGGTGCCCCCGTACCTGCCCGGCTCCTGCTCCCGGCCGCGGGCCCCGCACACATCCGTCAGGCTCCCGGCCGAGGCGGCGGCGCTGGCGGCGTCCCCGGTGGCCGAGCCGCCGCTGCAGCTCTTGGTGCGGAAGAGGCGGCTGAGGCGGATGCGGAGCGAGCCCTTCCTGCCGCTGCCGGTGCCGGTGCCCGCGGGCGGCGGCGCGGGGCCGGCGGCTGCCGTTCTACCGGCGGCACGGGCGGCAAAAG